GGAATAAATACAAAGATATATGTGTGGAAATATAACCAAATCAAAGTGGAAACATGACATATTATAGTAAATTTAATTTCCTATAAATCCTCCAAATAGATGCAGAATATTATCTAACAATGTGTTTACCTCGAAAATACTAGTAACAATTAAATTAGATTTGTGGTTTTAAAGATATGTGATTTAGCTCAATACCAATTAAAAATTAAAAATATGAAGTAGAAATAAAAGAGATAAGTGAATCAAATCAATATAACTCAGCAGCGGTGACCTTGAGCTTAGTGACCTCGAGGTGGGTTTAGAATAATAAGAACAATTAAGCAAGAAAAGTAAAGTAAGAGCAGTAGAGCTGCAGGACAATTCTGATGAACAATAGGTAAAAAGTAGAGAGTGTATTGTTTTCTCAATGATTAGATAATATTACAAAATGATTGGGGTCCCCTTTATATAATAGGGGAATCCTAAATAAAGTATATTTCTATTTACAGTAAGGTATATTCTTAATACAACTATCTAACCGCCTATTACGGAATTGTACACTTTTATTTCGGTATTTGCGCCATGATCTTGGGGACGTGGAAGGAATCCAGCTCATTCTGTTACAAATCCATAACGGTACAATTTCGAGGTGGAGCATACTTAACTTCGGTGCCTATTGCACTTTGATCCCCGGGCATTGCATCATATCTTCGAGCTCGGATCTGATCCATCGGGCTCGAACTCGACCTCGCCTAAGCCCGGGCTTAAGATAGACCCTCGAGCCTATAAATCGGACGCATATGATTTTGACCGTACTCATCGGGCTTGCTCCTAGTCTATTTCGATCTCGCTCTTAAAGTGACCCTCGAGCCCACAAAATTGGGTAGCCCCGATTTCTACCGTATACACAATGTCCAAAGACGTCAGTCGTTGAAGGTGAGATGATCTCTTCGAGTTTATTTCTCAAGTAATTTAATTAACAAATATTTCTTTGTTAATTAGTTAGCTTGTTTTCTAGAACATGTAGCTATGGATAATAAGAAGACAGAAGGCTAGCTGTTGAAGAAGATAGGAAGTGAAGAAGATTGGTGCTCTACGTGTTGAAGGAAGAAGTGACTTATGTACTTTAAATAATGTTGAAGGATATTATTAATTAAAGTTTAATTTTGGCATTTTCATTGAAAAAATTTACTCTGTTGATTTTTAAATGTTTTATAGTTAAATGATATTAGTTATACTGATTTTAGTTATATAACTCCTTTAAAAAGTAAGGTGGCAATAGATTCGGGGGATTTGCGTCTATACTCGCTTTTTGGGTCACATTTTAATTTATATCTGCTTTGCAAAAAAAAAAATTGCAAGCATATCCACTTTTCGCGTAAACTTAAAGTATACGGGCCTGAAGTAACAAAGACAATCACACAAATTTCAGCATGACCTGAAGTTGTTTGTAATTGCTGAACTTAAGCATTCTACTAGCTAAAATTTTGTTCTCTATTTGCTGAACTTAAGCATGTTTTAGCTGAAGTTTTGTCCTGGATTCATTAGTTTTGTCGTAAAGCTTTTTCAAAAGCTCCAGCAGAAGATGCTGAAGTTATTTAGTTCATTTGCAAAAATTTCAGCACTAAATAAGCTGAAGTTTTTTTGTCCTGGATTCATTAGTTTTGTCGTAAAACTTTTTCAAAAATTCAGCAGAAGATGCTGAAGTTATTTAGTTCATTTATAAAAACTTCCGCACTAAATAAGCTGAAGTTTTTTTTATCCTGGATTCATTAGTTTTGTCGTAAAGCTTTTTCAAAAATTTCAGCAGAAGATGCTGAAGTTATTTAGTTCATTTATAAAAACTTCCGCACTAAATAAGCTGAAGTTTTTTTTATCCTGGATTCATTAGTTTTGTCGTAAAGCTTTTTCAAAAATTTCAGCAGAAGATGCTGAAGTTATTTAGTTCATTTGTAAAAACTTCAGCACTATATAAGCTAAAGTGTTTGAAAAAGCTTTCTAACATACTAGATAAATAATCACCTTATTCTTTCATAGTATATTACTATTATAAAATAATCAGATTGCTGACAATATCTAAATCATAAATTTTTGAAACAATAAACGTGAAAAGCACAGAGAAAAATCGCTCACCCCAAGCATTGTAATGTAAGCATCTGCACAAATACAAATGATGAAGCGAAGTATTACATTATCAAAAACAAGATGTTCTAAGAGACTAACAAAGAAATGAGGAAGAAAGGAGCGCACAGGTAGCACGAAGAAGGAGACGCCTGAAGTTGTAAAAATTAGGGTATATGTTAAATAATTTTAAAAATATGGGTATAAGTTAAATGGGGGCGATCAAATAGGGCGCCCGTGCAATTTTTATATTCTACTTTCATTGTCAAACACATCGAGTATGTAATAATTATATAATGGATTTACGTTATATATATTGATCGTGTAAATATTTTCTTAACACTATTTGCAATTTTAACCTGTAATAGTATGTTAGTAATCATTTTTACTAAATTATCGATTAATATTTATTTATGGGGTTTTTATATAATTACCTAATAAGTGACATATCATGTAATGAGCAAAGTTAAACTCTTTTACAAGAAAACCAATTTTAGGTATTAAATCAGGTTATAAAGCAAACCATAAAGGTTCATATCAATTAATAATTACAGACACTCGAAGTTTACACCAAAACAAATAATTTAACTTTAGCATAAAAAATTAAACTGATAATTGCATCGGGATTAGGTTTGGTTTATTGCCTTCAACATCTATATTGTGTAGGGGTACTTACTGCTAATAATGCACATAACGTAACGTAATAAAGTTACAGATCATGTGGCTTTTTATCAAACTATAATCGAGGGTAATAATATAATATTCCAAGAAATTAATTGCAGGGATACTTTTTGTTTTTTTCAATCTTTTCGTAAAGAGTAACTTCTTGGATCTGACTATTTATATGTCTTTCTTTTGCCTATGCAACGTATTCGTTCTTCCAGCATATACTAAAAAGAATTCTGACTATTATATACTTTCTGTTGTTTTCACACGGATTAAGAAATTCATCTTTTAACATTAATTAATAATAAAATTGACCATATTAACCTTTATTATCTCTTCACATAAATACTCCTAATATATATTCCAATATTATTTACTCCAGGGGCAATATAGAAAAAAACAATTAATTCATTCTTAAAATCTAGAAAAATCACTTATTTTGGACCACAAAAAAAGGCCAAAAAAATACTTATTATGGATCAGAGGAAATATTAACTTGAGGCTAGTACAGAAATTCACAAACCTCAAATTCCGCAATTTTATCATACAACACACCCCATTATTTTAATTAATAAAGGTAACATTATAACTTGAGTATTCACGGGGATGGATCGAGCCCTCCTATAATGTGATGATAGTGTGTCAATGTGAATGCTCGTAGTACTGATAGAACAATACCAATATAATTTTCCCAATGAATATTCATCTCATGCTTATGAAATATGTTACTTAACATCTCATATAACAAGCTAATTCAGTTTGAAATTGTACATAACAACTGAAACGTAAAAGACTTGAGGACTTATTGTTTCATTCCACCAAAAGTTATTTAAGTTTACATTACTAACATTTGGAAAATACACTTACTTTATCCTTTTGAGTTTTGTGCTAGTGACATTCCCATTATTTGAACATAAAACACAAGTAACATTATAGCTCGAGTATTCATGAGACTGGACTATATCCTTCCACATAGAGATAAATATAAAAGTACTATGCCCACTTCCTCTTAACTCTAACTTTAAAGCCATGTTTCATGTAGAGCATAACGGAGACATTAGGGTAAACAACATGACCTTTCACCATTTCAATTTGGTAATTATGGATGATAGTAGCAACTACTACTTTCATTTGAGTGAAAGCTGCTTCTTTTCCTAAGCATGTTCTTGGTCCTGCATTGAAAGAAAAGAACTTGTAAGATGGCTCATAGTTAATCGTTCCACGGTCTGAAATCCATCTGTGTGGCTTGAATTCCGAGGCATCCTTTCCCCAGATGGATTCCATCCTTCCCATTGCATATAAAGGAATCATCACTCTCATATTAGGATGAACATGGTGGCCACTAGGGAGAATATCAGGTTCTAGTGGAGTCTTATGCTGAAATGCGACAGGGGGATATAGCCTCAGTGATTCACACAATGCAGCGTGTAAATAAATCACATTTTTCAACTCATCAGCCGTAAAAAGCCTCCATTTTTCAGCTTCTTCTGGTGGGATAATAGCCCTAAGTTCTTCCCTTATATTCTTCTCAACCTCAGGATGTGTGGACACCAACCAAATGAACCACGTAAGGCCTGAGCTAACCGTGTCATGCCCGGCGAACATGAAGTTTAAAAAGGTATCCCTTAAGAACTTGTCAAACTTCAACCCTGATGTTCTTTCTCCATCGTTGATTATGTATGGTGTTAATAAATCAAAACCCTCTTCGTTTTCCTTACATTTTTCAACTCTACTCAATTCTTCGCGCTTCATCAATATATACTCACCTATAACACGATCAAGAACATCCGAAGCTTTTCTTAGTTGCATTTCAGGCCCAACTCCTAGCCATTTTTGCAACTTCCAAATACTTTCTGGCAATAAATATCGGATGGATACAACATATTTAGCATCATCCATGGCTTTCAAGAAGGGAACTTCCGGGAATTCAAGAGAGAGGCAACAAGATTCAAATCCTGTGAGTAATTTACACGTCGTATCAAAGGTGAATCTCTTGAAAACATCTTGCAAATCAACAATTCTATCTTCTTTAGCAATGAGCTCAAGGATTGGAATCAAGCCATTTTTTACCTTGTCCAAGCTGATTTTCGTCAAACACTTGTGGAATCTCTGATGAGTGATCAATGCTCTAGCAAGTTTCCTTTGATTCTTCCACAGATCCATGTCAGAACTAAAAATTCCATCACCTAGAACATCAAAAATCTTCCTGAGTTCGCGCCCCTTTGGAAAATTTGTAAAATTTGCACTCATAATATACTGTACATTTGCAGGATCCACTGTACCAAGAATGTCCATATTAGTAAACCAAAGACCTTTCAGCAAGAAAGTACCCCTAGTTCTTGAAAGAACCTCTACACTCCTTTCATGAATTCTATGTATATGGAAAACAAGGCTTGGAAACATCCCAAGAAATGGCCAGTTCCATATAAAGCTACTTCTGCCTTGGAAAGCCAAGACAAAAAAGCAAAAGATTGCTACAAAAATCTCAAAGTACCCTATTGTGGCCAATAGAGAAATAATAGCCATATCTTGCCTATAGTGTTTACTCTCCTTGGTGCTTTATTTCATGCTTTACATTTATACGGACAAACACTCTAGTCTATTTATAGGGTCTCATGATGTGAATATGATGCATAGCTAGTGGCAGAGTTAGTGTACATAAGAAAATCCTAGGGGCAGCCAGTGCACAAAACAAGGGTTAGGAAGGGTCACACCCTAAGGGATATGACGTAGGCAGTCTACCCTGATGCAAACATCATTGCCTGATTCCACGGCTTGAACCTGTGATGTATAAGTCACACAGAAACAACTTGACCGTTGCTTCAAGGCTCATATAAGAAAATACTAAAAAAATTAAAAAGTATTACACTCTGAACCCCTTATTTCCAAATTACAACAAGTTCAATGGTTAAAAATTGAATACTGAACCATTAAGCTAAAATGATGGATGCATAGCATAACCATTATTTTATGTTTTAGATTTATTGCCTATTTGGCCAAGCTTCTCCAAGCTTAAAAGTATTTTTTTTTTAAAATGTACTTTTTTCCCAAAGTTAAAGTATTTGGCCAAGCTTTTAGAAGAAGAAAAATGCTTTTGAGTAGAAGCATAAGCACTTTTGGAGAAGCAAAAAAAATTGTTTTTTCGCAGAAGCACTTTTTTGAGAAGCATTTTTTAGAAAAATACACTTAGAAGCAGTTTTTAAAAGTTTGATAAAATACTAATTGCTGCTCAGAGTTTTTAAAAGTTTGGTCAAACACTATTAGAGCCCGTTTGGCTTAGCTGATTTAGAGTAGCTGATAAGCATTAGGTGCTGAAAAGCACTTTTAAGTGCTGAAACTGATTTAAAAAATAAGCAGTTATATGTTTGGATAAAAGTGCTGAACTTAATAATATGCACCTGAAGAACTGGGTATACGAAGAGTTTTGTTTTAAAAAAAAGTATTTGAGGGATAGAATAGTAAATATTTTGGTCAAAATTAAAGTGCTTATAAACTGAAATTTGATAAGTTGGGGGAGACCAACTTATGGCTTTTGACTTATTTTTGGCTTATAAGTACTTAACTTATAAGTACTTTTAATTTTACCAAACACATAGATAGGCCAAAAAGTGCTTATAAGCCGGTTTGACCAGCTTATAAGCTTAGCCAAACACCCTCTTAGTTGTTTCGATTTATTGTGCTGATCGATTAGACAAAATACATACTGTGAGCCCGGCCGAAAAAATCAAGAACATGATTTTAAAATTAATTCCTAATCAAATTATCTCTAGGAAGTCCTTGAATAGTAACTCCGTCACTATTCACCAGGCCACAACTCTGGCGTTCGACGGTGGAACTTCACAAAGTTGGTGTCAAAACATACATCTACTCTTTGCACACAATCCCAATTGGTTTCATCCTCAAATTCATAGCCAATTTTTCCAGATCTTAAATTCAATTTGCGACTACTGTAGCACCGACAATGTTTTTTCAGATTTCGGCTTTTTTGGATGTTCTTTGCGGCAGTTATGTGATGTTTTGAGCAGCCATGGATGCTGCTGTCTCTCCCCAGCTCCAAGCTGTGGGAGAGTCCACCCAAATCAGTAGAGAAACTCATCCAATTCACAATACAAAACAGTCATATGCATCGCAACTACAATGACAACAATCTGCCGCAAATTCGTCAAAGGTGAAGTTATGTCCACTCACGTTTCAGTATGGTGAACCTACTGTTGAATTCACAACTGAAGATGTTAATGCGTTTACAATTGAGAAGGGACTGCATCAAGCAGTTATTCTTAAGTTCTCATATGGGAAGCCAAATATCCATGAGTTGTGACAACTTATACCAAAATAATTTGACGTGAAAGGGTATTGTAACGTTGGACAACTTGAATATCGACACATACTGGTAAGGTTTGATCTCTTTGATGATTTTGTTCAGGTGTTATAAAAAACTACTGGTTTTGTTAAGGCAAAGGGAGATGAATTCTTCTTTAGGTCATTCCCATGGACGATGGGATTTAATCCACGTGAAGAAACCTCTAGAGCAGTCGTTTGGATTTCTATGCCAGATCTGCCTGTAAATTTCTTTGCAAAGAAATCCTTAATGTCCATAGCTCCAGCTGTGGGGAAGCCTTTAGAAGTGGACAAAGCGACACAAGATAGAACACGACCAAGTACGGCGAGGGTGAAGGTGTTAATAAACCTACTGGACAAACATCCTAAGCGTGTTCGGATTCACTATTGTTGATAGAAATCCAAGGAAAACTGTTGAACATTTTCAGGAGATCGTGTATGATAACTTTCCAAAATTTTGTACTTGTTGTAAACATCAAGGCCACGATGAATGATAATGTCGTTGGAGGATCGAGAAAAATAAGGAAACTGCTGCTCTAGTGAAAGACGTTGAAGGGCTGGGCAATCTGGACAAATTGAAAGGTGATGCCAGGGATTTTCTTAATGCAAAAATAGTACAAATAGCACGGGAGACAAAAAATGTTAATGCAGTTGAGCAACAGGTTGTGCAAGGTGATGAAGGAAAACAAATAGACAAGGGGCATATGGATGGAACAAATGGTATGATTACTGAAGAAAAAACGACAGGTTCTAAACTTGCAGCTGTGAAGAATGCTTCTGATGTGCATGTTGAGGGACAAAGTTTTGAAGGTAATTTAAAGGATGGTATGGCAGAGGGAGATCAAGGAACAGCTGGGTTTGAGCAGGCTGTTCGAGGTTCTGCGGGTAACGCCATACAGTTTACACAAGCAACATCTACTAGCGATGTGAATGCAATTGGTGATGATACACTGGCTGTAGGTATTAAGGCAGTGATCGAGGATTTTAGGCAACCTCAAAATTTGGTGGACGAGCAGACTACTGCTCCTGTTCAAGCAGCTCATTTCAGGGTTGGAAATACTGGTGGAGTTACATTGCAATCAGCTGGAGTTTTGCATTCACATGCTGGTGTTTGGAATCTACTGTTCCTTCGACTCCTTCTGTTGATCGAACAAGTTCTGATCCTAGGGTGCCAGTTGCAGGTTCTGATCCTAGGGTTCCAGAAAGCTGGAATATGGTAACATCTAGAAAATCACCTACAAAGCAGGTGGACTCACAGAAACAGCAGAAAACAGATGTTGGACGAAATGCATCTAGTAGTGTTTCCAAAGCCATGAATGCAGACAACGCTATGTTGTCTAGTAATCGTGTGGCAGATGCAGGAGATGCCCCAGCTTTTAAGAAGCCTCAAGCTAATTTTCCATGTGATATTCCTGCTAGTAGAGCTCTGGATACGATTTACAAAGCTGTGGGTGGTAGAATTTTAGCTGGACTTCCTAAAGGTTCAGATTTTGAAACTGAGTTTACTGAATTACCTGAAGCTATTGTTGTTGGTAGTGACTTGACTGATGCTTTAGGGTAAGTTGAAGATGGGAAAAAGATTGAGGGTGTAGGTGTGGAGAAGAAAAAGGAAGCTGGAGATAATAAGAAGTTGAAGGATATCTGTACCAAGCTGGACGTTAATAGTTCTACAACTATTTTGTCAAATGCTACAGCTCCAAATGCTACACCATCAGTAGCAGCTGTTGATCATGAGCAAAATTTAACTCCAACAGCTGTGCAGGAAAATGCTAAGTGTTGGTTTAGATGTAAAAGGCTTTGAAAGTGAGGTAACACCAAGAACCAGCCATTCAAAAACACCCCAAAGTGTACAACAAAAGCAGAAACCAGAAGTTTCAGCTGCTCCAGTAAGTGGCTCAAAAGACATGGTTCTTGTCGACGATCCAAAGGCTGTGGAAGTGACATGAGCATTTACAGCAGAGGAAGATTTTGAAATTAATTCAACAACGTTAAAAGATTTTCATTCAACCCAGCAAATAGTTCCAGTCTCCAGCAGTAGCAAAGGACATAAGCCCAGTAACAATCTGATGAAAAATATGAGTTTTCGACGAAATGTTTCAACAGGCAATTTAGACGACGTGGTGAAGGATGCTCGTGAACCTATTTTCAGCCCCTCCAAGCTGCAATTCTCTAGTCCTCAAGTGAAGAAAATCATCAAAGATGCACAGGTTTCAATGATGTTGAATGCCAATCCCATGATCAAGAAACCTTTGGTCACTTTGAATACATCGGCGCAAGAAATTCCTTCTCAAAGCGTTGAGTCGATTGGTGAACATAGTGGTTCTGTGTAACCTCTACTATCTACAGTTAATGATAAGGAAGTCATCAAGGACAGAAGTGAATACTTGACGGAGAAGATTAATGAAATAACAGTTAGACAAGAGGAGAAATCTTTTGATCGAATGATGCCAAGGAGTAAAACCTGGGCAGATCGAGCTGAGTATGAAGAAGAGGAGCATTGGAAAAATGGTGTGGATGATGAGCTTGATGATTCCATTGAACAGCAATCTGGGCAGCAACAGCGATGCAATCAAGAAGCTTCTTATGCTCATGGTCATTATCCTGGGCTGCAACAACAACGTGCACGCACTCAATATGATTCACTGTTGCATCCAAATGCAGGACAACAACAACATTTTCCTACTAGCTTCATGGCTAGACAGCATAAGCAGACTACAAGCAATCTACAGATTGAAATGAGCACAACTAGCTCGAAGGCAAAGGCAACAAACAAGAAATCTGGAAGGTAGAAGCAGCAAATTGTGAACACTCCTACTGCTATTTGTGATCGATATGAAGCAACACCAAATCCGGGACAGCAACAGCTAATTGAAAACAGCCCACAGTCAGTAAGTTAGGGGCCAAAAAATGGACAGCAACACAAGGAAAGAATTTGGCTCGACGCGATGCAGCAGCGAAATGACACAAATGTACCTGAAGCCAACTCGATTGTAGTTCTAGACGTAAATCAATCTGGGCAGCAACAGCTTGATCCAAACAATTCAGCTATACATACTTATGGTCGAAAAGCAACAACAATGTCCAAATTGGCATCGACTTCGACATATGCTGGACAACAACAACTTATTCCAGCTGCTAGTCCTATAGGTGATAGACAAGTCACAGCACCAACATTTGGACAGAAGCTA